AATGAACGAAATGACTCGAAAAAAGATTCGTTAATTTTGCTGAACGAGACTCAAAGATCCGAGTCTGTAAAATATTCCGAACTTCCCATCACTAGTCTCCACTAATGAGCTGATTAGTTGAATCAGGTGTGATAGATGAGGAAGACATACAAAATGTGCAGGGCTGGGGGTACTCCAGGACAGGTTTGAGAACCACTGATATAGGCTATACAAAAAAAAGACAAATAAGGACAAAATAAATAGGCTGAATAAGCTGATCTATAGCATGTTAAATGGTGGTAGCCTAGTCTATGAATTACCATTCAAAGCTCACAGAAATGGTTTGACCCAAGTCTTCAGCAGCCAATGACACTGACCCTTTCAAACAGATTTTAATGCATATTTTACACGTATTTAACATGTTATATATGTTGAATACGCATATTTAATGCGCTGAGTTTTCACACAAACAATGTGAAATACGCGTTAAGTACTCGTGAAATACACGTATTTAACTTGTTGTTGACTTGTTAAAATTCACGTGTTTTTGTCTCCATTGGCCTTCCATAACCACATATTCCATAGATCGATTCATGTTGCGTGCACAAATAAAAGCCTGACAATGTGTGTGTTTGTTGAATTTAACCCTCTGATAAATTCATTTACCCATTAAACTGTGGCATTAAATGCCAGTTCAAATATCAATATGATGTAGGCTAATAGAAGAATAATGTATATGAATTGCATATGGCAAATATTTTATTTTCCTGAAATAATTTGTATTCTTCCTATTACTTGTATGACTGGGTATTTAAAATTGTAATTGAATAAGTCTGAATGAAAACTTACTCGTAAAGTAAGTTCTGGGGTTCGAACATTCCGACACGCAAGATGAATCGCGCACGTGACTGGACAGAAAGTGAGGCTTTGTTTGTCATTTATGACATGGTTTCTACGTTAACAACACAAGCCTCGAATCGAGGCTTCGTCTGGCATCCAGCTCCGATGCCTCGGTTCAAATGTCACATCACTGTTGACTGCAGTGCGTCATGTACTCTTGAACAGAAAGATGGTGACTGCAGCTTGACTACACAAAAAACCTTCTATAGCTCGATTATAAATATTCGTGTATCGTGTACATCATACAACTCTTTCACAGGGTTATTGTTATAGTTGTGCAAAGCCATGTTGTACGGTGAGTTTTACATTTATTTGAATTGAAGTATACCGCAAACATCCTGTTTAACATAAAGCTTTGATGAGACAAAAACTATTTTTATTACAGATAAGAGTTAGGAGGTCTTACTTGGTTGTTTATGCCCCCAGCAGTATGTACAAAGACTGGTTACAAGGATGATTGACAGGAGGAGAGCCCCGCCCACCACAGACAGCAGTGCAGTGGAGTCCATATCTGAGAAGGCAACGCAAGAACATTGATTTATGGCAGTATTTGGCCATAGCAGAGAGCAACATCATTCTTCTGAATCTGTGGTTTTAGGTTAGTGTGACTAAACCAGGGAAATGTTTCCATACGCTCATTTTGTATAAATTAAGCCGCATATGAAAGGTCAGGTGAACTCATTTCATTTGGTTTTTATGAAGCTGACCTGTTTTAACTATACAAATGAAAAAGCAGTAAGAGGGTTTACTTAGTGTTTTGTTTCTTAATGTTAGCAATAAGTACTGGTCTCTCACAATCTTTAAGAAACAGATGAAAACACAGATCTTCCATCCATGAGCTCTTTAATCATGATAATTTATTCCTTATCATTTAATATACTGTTCTTAAAACCGAAGAGCTGCTCTGATCTCCACCATGGACATTTAGATGTCTTAACTATCTTGCATCTTTGTGGATTGTTTTCTTGCAGAACTTGGTGTTGATGACTAGTATGTCTAATAGTCGTTTGTACATGTCAAAAATCCTATTCTTAACCAGTATCATCTTGTTTTCCAGTAAAAACATCTTAACATCTATTAATTTAACTGAGAAGCCAGAGAAGTGATGCATATGGACTTGTTTTTAGAGAATACATATATTGAATATAAAGGTGTTTCTTCAGCTATAACTCAAAATTAGAATTTTACACAATCTATATTCAGTCTGTTTCAGAAAAACTCTCTCACTATTTTAATTGGTCTATTAACAATGTCAAAAAGTTCATATACTAAATTCTTACACTGCCATTTATATCACATCTCAAATGATGTATTGTGTTAGATTGTGTTATGTTGTAAAATTGCATTTTAAATATTTTTGGAATAAAATGATGTACTCCGTGCTAAGGATAATTTCTTAGCTTGCATTTTGGGCATCCTATGCACACAATTAAATATTTTCACACTTTGCAAAATTCTACAAAATTTACAGCTCAACTGGAAATAACACATAATTAAAATATTTGAATAACATGTTATTCACTTTGATTTCTCTTTATTCACACATCACATGTCTAATTTTACTAAAAAACATCCTTTGTTTATATTATTAAAGATTTAAATATGTAATTCTCAAATTTTGATGATGTATTTTCATGTTTTAACATTTAAAGTTTGGGTTTGGACATGGGTAAAAAAAAATCTATACACAAAAGAATTTAAAAAGCAGGAAATATCTTTTTTTTTTTTAAGTATGATTACAAAAAAACTTTTCAAGATCATTTTAATGTGACAAAACAAAACATAAATAACAACATAAATTTAATGCAACAAAAAATTAACAAAAAGCGAAAAAAGTTAGTGCTCAGTATTGTTTTAATACAAATCTGGGACGTAAAAGCATTAAAGTTTAAGAAACACCCTTAAGTGTATTTTATCTCATTTTTAGACTGTTTTCTTTAACTTGAGTATAAACATCACAATATATATAAATTCCTTTTTCCTAATAGTAATTTTTGCAGTGCATTATTTATTTGCTTTATAAATGCCGTCACTCAAAAGATCAAATAAACTCCTGATTACCCCAGCATGGATCACTTTGTGCCTTTTAATGGATACAAAAAGCTCTTCTCTGTAACATTTTTAAAAATCCCTTGAGTGGTCGGCCTTTTCAATTAAAACGTTTTGCCAGTTTTAATTAGGCAAATTCGCAACCTGCGAAATTTCACTCGGCATCACCTGCCATGCAAGTTTTTACACATCTCTATATATGTGAGCGTGTGGCTGTCTGTGGTTACATTCAGTGCCAGGAAACGGATTTCCTGTATTTTGCAGAGAAAAAACGACGCATTATGAGAGGTTTGGGCCTCACTCTAATCCCAGAGCTGTCAAGTTCTAGAGAACTACTACCTAGAACCCAAAAAAGCAGGGCAAATGGCAGCCTTACCTACATTTTCCTAATCTAAGTTACAAGCAAAGTTGCCTTGAGCAACCAACATTATTCTGATAGACATTTCATAGACAATCATGAACTCTTCAATATTATAGTGCACTTTATCATGCACTTTTATTATTATAAATCCAACAAAATATGACTCATTTATATGCATAAAATGATTCACATACGTAATAATGGTTGTTCAGAATTAAAAGCATGAGTAAAAAAATCTAAGCGTTAATGTTATTGTAATTGGTTTGACGAAAGACGGTGAATGTGATAATGAGGTTTTATTTGCGGTTGAAGAACTCTTGACCCTCTGATCTTTATCAAACTACAGCCATATTACAAGCCAGCATTTAGAGTGAATTAGTAAGAAAATAAATAATCTAAATAAATCTTTTTGGCAAAACGTTGTTTGATGACTTGCAAAGGCAATTAGCCTATGTGTTTTGAAACATTTATTGTCTTAATATGAAGTCGGCACCCGAAATTGAGGAAGATGAATAATTCTGATTAATTTTCATGGCAATTTGAAACCTTTTGCCAATCATGTCAACCAAGTTGGTGCTAAATGGCATGTTACATGCATAGAAGAAAACCCAAGGTCATCTGCACTGATTGAAAGTGACAGATCATATATTGTAGGATTTCTTTACAGTTTGTAGAAAAAAGTGTGATTGGCAAAAAAAAAAATCAAAGAGATATGAATAAGTATTACTGTATTCAAATTCAAGCTCTCTGTATAATGGCACAGAAAACTTTCTCCACAAAACGATATGCCAGTTTTACTTGGAGAAAATAAAGTAAAAAGCTTACCAGTATCAGTAGCAGCAATCAAGTCAATCAAGACACCACACGTTCTGCTCAGCAGAAACCTGCAATTAAACTGCCGGCCAATTCACACACACACACACACTGCAGTTTGTATAAATCACACCTAACTCACAGCTCACACTGAAGGTGCCACCATTTTCCTCCCGCCTTGTTCCTCAATTTCTTCCCTTTAGTTCACCTCCCAACCCAAATTTAAGCAATCCCAGTAGTCAGTTGCTTAATGCCAGTTGCTCATATCTGCTGAAGTTAATTCCTTAAGTTTTATTATTTCATATGAGCCGCTGAGGTGTGTCCTGATCTAAAGGGCCTTTACCGCGAAGAACTTTCCTCGCTGCACTTGCTCTCTGTCTCCTCATAGGCTCAGAGAAAGTGTCGTTCTATCACTTGCACCAGTCAGCATCTTTTTTTTTTCTCCTCTCTTCATCTTTGTAACTGGCTGTCTCTTGCTCATTTCACCTCCTTCCTCGTCTCATCTCTTATATCTGAAGGTTTAGTTTCTTGCTTGGTTTTTCTGCCGCCATGCAGATTTGATAGCATTTTTTTATTTTTCAGCATTTGTCAGATGTTAGACTCAGAAGATAAAGTCATTAAGGCATTAAACCTTACAGAGTAAGAAAAGCATTATGTTATCTTGACATTGAGTTACTAGGGTGAGCAACTGACAGCATTAGAACTATTTTTGTGGTGTCCCATTGCAAGATTTAATGTCAAATAATAATTGGTCATTTAAAAAAACAAAACAATAATCAACAATTGAGTTGTAATTCATGCTTTATAATGTTCGTAAATAAAGTATCACAGAACACAGGTGTTTCCCTGCAGTTTTACAAGAGATTAATGAGAGGGAGTTTAAAAAATATATGTTAAAAACATTGATTCAAACTGTAAGCATTAACTAGTCGCTTCGTTATGGCGGACAGGGAGTCATAATTTCTCAAACTTGCCTCCCACTCTTGTGGCATTTTGTGGTGTTCTTGTAACCTGCACAAACAAGTTACAGGAATGACATATTGGTACATTGTATTCTCAAGCACATCATCCACCGAATGTTCCACTGCAAAGACAACGCATGTTTCGATTCAGGCGCTTCAGTATTCATAATTCATTCACGAGACTAATTTCCACAGCAAATTTACCGAACAGGCTTGCATCTCCATATCCCACCTACAAACAGGAAACCACAGCAACTGAAAAACCTTGATCATCGTTCTTGCCACTGCAAAGAGAGAGAGAATGCAAACTTGCAAGAGAGAGAGAGAGAGAGAGAGAGAGAGAGAGAGAGAGAGAGAGATAAAGCAGAAATAAAAATACTCGCCCTTATTTCAATGTGCTGTAAGGAGAAATAAGGTAACCGATTTAAAACAAGTTTAACACAAGAAAACCGATCAAAAAGACAGCTTGGATTACATTTCTCATTTAATATTTAAAAAAAAAAGGCTACAAAACAAGATTAGCAAGCAAAGTTTGCAAATTATCCCAAAAGAATAGTGTGGAAAACATCCACAGCAGAGGGAACGCACAAGAAACTGCCTAAATCAAAAAATAAAAATAAAAAAAGTTAAAAGGGCAAATTAAAACAAGCCACAAACCAGACCCTTGCAACAAGTATATGTAACAATGTTATTTAAAAAAATATATATAATCAAGTTATAAATCTGAATCATGCTACAGTAGCATTAGTGTTTGTTTTCGGTGTGTTTCCTAAAAGACCCTAAAAGCTCAACTGTTAGTATAGAAGAAAAGACATTAAAACAGGAGGAAAGACTTTAGTTTGTAAAGGCAGATCACATACAGGCTTCAGTGCTGCTCAAGCTCAGTCTGACTCTGCTAGTTCTTAGTCATAGTCCAGCTTTGATGAAAACAAATGCAACAGAATTTTGAGAGTACCTCGGTTTTAGTTAACTGACTTAAGAACCTATAGACAGCAATCTGAAAAATCAATTGAGATCCCCTCCAATAAAAACATCTCAAATATAATTTACATGAATTCTAAAACACATCTTGATGAGTTTCAATTAAAGGTAATGAAATGTTCCCACCATATAACTTCTTTCCATTTTTTTTTTCATGTGTTCCTACGTGTTCACCTCCCACAGGACTCATCCGGGGGAAAGCAGAATGGTCTAAGCACACAGGACTACCAGGTAAGATGTTACTGATATTATTTAGTCCAAAATGTCCCAAATCAATAGGGGTGTTAAGGATATAAACAAAAACATAAGCATAATAAATTACTATAAAACTCCTTATTGTGGAGATAGTCCAATCAGTGATTACTGGTCCAGGATTGGCTGCTGACAGCACTGGCTCTATCTGCCTACGCCAATCAGAGTGCTGTTCCCTGTGTTGAGAATCATCCAAATCCTTGCATCATCTCAAATTAAAACACTTGACACTGGTACTTTAGTGGACCTCCCTCTCTTTGGAACAATAATTGGTGCATCATCTGAAAAATAAAAAAGACACGTCAGTATGTTATATTTCCAAAGCATCTATAATGACCCTAAAAAATTAGGTGACTGAGAATTACATATAAAGAATTAGCCAAAAAGCCACAAATGGAAATTATTACTTATAACAATTAGCCAGCATTTTGTTCAATGAAGAGACTGAAAGGAATATTTACAGATTCGTTCAAAAACACACATTTACAGTAAGGCACTTATGACAGCAATGCACAAAATGCCATTCATAGACATTGAGGCTGTATTCAACCAGCAATATTTATTTTAAAATTCATTCTTAAAAGCAGGATTATTAGTGGCCATTAAAACCAATCCATTGTAAAATGCACAGAATATAACAAACTATATAAAAAAATCATTAATTGAAATAAATCTGAAATAAAATAAAATATAATTACATGATAAACTTTAAAAACCGTAAGTTTTAGAAATGTTGTCCTTGACAGGTGCAAAAATGACAAAAACTTAAAAATATATATACTAAATATAAATACTAAAATAAACAATCAAACACAAATAGGACAAGACAAGACTTTGATGTCATCAGTGATTTCACTCACCAGAGGGCACGCAGTTCTCTGCCAGATGTCGGTCTTGTTCGATGAAGAGGGCCGTGGCCAGGAAGAAAGCTCCACCCCCCACGGCCACGAAGGAACACAGCAGGAGTGACATCTGAAGTGAACGAAACTCCCACATGTATGAATCCGACTTCTTTATCGAGTCTGACACCTTAAGAGAGGGGGAAAAACACTTTAAAAAGAACTCTGAAAGACTTTTTCTGTGCAATTGTGAGACTGACGTACCACTCCTATGAGGTAAGGGCTAATAGCGTCGCCCAGCAAGTGTGAGAGTACAATCTGAAAAGCTTCCGCTGTGGAGCGCCGTGTGGGGATCACAACATACTGAGAGAAGAGAGAAATGAGAACATGAGGAAGAGACCTCATGTTGTTCCAAACATGTGCTGTTGATATTTCATTGGAACACAAAAGACATTTTTAAAGGTGACATATCATGAAAATCTGACTTTTCCAGGTTTTAAGTGCTATAATCAGGTCCCTGGTGCATATATCCACCAAGGAAACGTGAAAAAGATTAACCCAGTAACTTTGTTTTGGTAAGCCTTTTTCTGCAAGCATCTGAGAAAACGAGCGCGTCTGATTTCGCTCCCTTGGTGACGTGGCAAATGGATCTCATTATAATATTACCGCCCTTAATCTGTAAGATTACACCCACAGCGCCATCATTTTGATTTTGCCAGCGACAACGGTGTACCAGTTCTAATACTATGGTGAAAGTTTGAGCAAAACATGCTAACTGTTCTGCCTTTGGCTGCACATACGAGCACAGAACACTATTTAGAGTCCCAGCCTCAGAGGAGACAAGAGAGCAGTGGATTTATTGACTTATTTACTGTATATTGCTGCTGCCACACAGATCTAAAATAAACATTTTATTTATTTCCCAGCAGTTTACCTTCACAGACATAACCGACTGTTTTTGTAACTCGTGTGTTTTTAATGTAAACTTGTGTGTGAATGAGAACTTAGTTTAGTACTCACATCCTGTGACAGCCGCTTTCTGTCCGTGTGCTTCGGATGTGTGTTCTCAGAAAACCGTATATCATAAGTTTAAACTCGGATGGTTTAAAACGCATGATTTCAGCGCGATAAACATGATAATCATAACCAAAACAGATGTTTTTAGCAGGTACCAGCTGTAATGGCGCAGCTCTATTCTGGAAAAGGGGCGGGGAGCAGCAGCTCATTTGCATTTAAAGAAACAGGCACGAAAAAAAGCGTGTTTCTGCTTCCACTCAAAATAGGCATTTTCAAAATGTTATAATAAATGATCTGTGGAGTATTTTGAGCTGAAACTTCACAGACACATTCTGGGGACACCAGAGACTTATATTACATATTGTAAAAAGGGGCATAATATGTCTCCTTTAAAGCATTTTCTCAACCTTTTTGACCTGTGTGGCTCCCACTGTCCAACACAATATTCAAAGACAATATCAGCCAAGATATTTCCTCTGGTATTTCAGTTGTAATTACAACAACACTGCTCGTTTTCAAACTTTTTAATTATTTTATTTTGTTTAATTATATTGATGGGCTTTTTATGCCTTTATTGGGACAGGACGGTAGAGAGTTGACAGGAAAGCACTGGGTGGAGAGAGGGGAGTGGGATCGGCAAAGGACCTCGAGACAGGAATCGAACTCGGGTGAGCACAGCTATACTGTATGTCGACGCACAAACCACGAGGCTATCGGCACCGACCAAACTTTTTTAACAACACGAAGTGTTGAAATTAAATTCATTAAACACGATTAATTTTGTGATTCTGTTAGATATTGATTGGTATATTTAAAAAAAAAAAAAATAAATTACTGATTTATCCATCATTGTAGATGTATCCATTTACATCTTGATTTTTTATTTTCTAACTTCTTATTTGTTTTAATTAATTTTTACAAAATATAATTAAATAATTTTAAGCCATTCTGTGGCCCCCTTGGAAGTTTGATTGACAACCACTGCATTAAAAGACTTTGATAATAATGTGCCAGTCATATTAACTACTTTTATGGTGCTTTCTTGTCCTTCTTAGAGTTTGAAAATCTGTGGACACTGAACACTATGTTCCTTGAATGGCAATAACTGTGTAACATTCTTTAAACAATTCTATTTTTGTGTTTTATGGGGAAAAAAACAGCATACAAGTTGGTAAAAACATGAGGATGAGTGAATAATAAAATCTAATCTTTTCATTGTTCTTTTTAATTGGTAGTGGATAAAATGGGAGGAAGGGAAACTCACCAGTAGCATATCAGCAACAACAGCCCAATTCATAGACAGGAATGTCTCACCTAGGAAGATAAAGACCTGATGGGAACACAAAATAGTTAACCAGCATAAAACTGCTCTACATTCAACACTAGTCAATATAACATTGAAAAGAAAAAAAAAACAGTTTTTGGATAAAACAGGTTCAAAGGAGAAGTCAAGTGAGTGACTTACATATGTGGCCACAGTGCTAGCCTGAGCAAACATGATGGACAGATAGAGAAAGGGAGCAGCGAGGAGGAGTCCTGCAGCACAGACTAATGGATCAGCTCGAGGGGTTCTTGTCCTCAGCTTCTTGCTCGCCTGCACTCCACTCGCTACTCCCAGGATGCCTGTCACAACTGTGATGATGCCAAAAATCACACTGCAGTGTGGAAGAGATTAGAAGAACATTATTAGTGCATGTTCTTAATAGAAGAATATTTGCAATACAGCATGCACAAATGCACTGCTCATAACATCATAATGGTATTAGGGATGTAACGGTATGAAAATTTCTTATCACGATTATAGTGACCAAAATTATCACGGTTATCAGTATTATCACGGTATTGTTAAAATGTGCTGGAGATGTTAAAAAAGTACAGACGCATAAATCACTTCAAGTTTTATATTTAAAAATCAACAAACAACAAATAAAATGACTTTTTGTTTGCATAATCACTAAAACAATAACATTACAAATGATGTTCGGATTTTAAATGACAACTTGACTGACAACAGTTTAATAGCATGTTCAAATATCTAATGTAAATGTTCAAATAAATCACATTTCAGCCTTTAAATAAAGAAAAGATATAAGTCAAAATGATAATTGATTAATAAATGATTATATGTATTTTATCTGCTCCATAAATAATTCTAGATGACTTATCTGAATTGTTTAAATGTGTAGAATCCACATAAGCTTGTTTTTCATCAACCGGTCAAAATTTACAGCAGGGCATACAAATTCAGTCAGTTTTTGGCCAGACAGAAACCACACACAGGCTGAATGTAAATATAAGTCTCTGTAAATCCACTCGCTGCCAGCAGGTGGCGCTTATGGAAAAGCTGAATTAGAGCTGTTTCCCGTAACCTCCGTGGACAAAGCAGTATTGCAATTAAGAACAATTCCTTTAGGTATTACATGGAGCGATGATGAAAACAAAATGCCATCGAATAATTTCTGAAGACAGTTAGAACCTTCAGAGGTACATTCATATAATTAATTCATTCATATATTCATTTGTATAATTCCCTTAGCACTCTTTTAAAATCTCCAAGCTTTTCCGCCCTGTTTTCACTCAAAACTAAATTACTCTGCGCGCTGTGCGCACGTGAGACTGTTACTGTTAAACTGTGCTTTATGCTGGACAGTATTTATTTATCGCGAGTTGTACAAACCCGGTAATCTAATAAGGTTTTAATGATAATTAAAAGATGAAACGGTAATACAAACCGTGGGGAATTTTATCATGATTTATCGTCAAACCGGTAATCGTTACATCCCTAGGTACCATAATATTAAAAGACTACAAAGACATTAAAAAAACAAAAGTGTGTGCCAAAGTCATGGTGTGTATTGAGAGAGTGAGGTGGTGTGTATGAGGGGCTGATACCTGTCAGAGTTGTCACAGGGGACTTTTAAACATGGCTGCTTCTCTCCAGTGAAGACACCTGCTCTGAATAAAAAGGCAGGGGCCCACAGGGCTAGTGATCCCGTCACAAAGGCCACAGTCGTGAAGCCAAACGTGGACAGAATAAAACTTGGACTGCAACAGAAATGAAGAGGGAAATAGAGAGAGACATTTAGTTCAGAAAAGAAACATTCAGCTATTACAAATAATTACACAACAAATAGCTCAAGAATCATACACTTTTTCGACTTCTTGCTATATTACACTTACACTACTGGTCAAAAGTGTGGCATAATTAATAAACTTAGTCTTAAATAAAATTAAATAACATTAGTCTTCAGTGTCACATGATTCTTCAGAAATCATTCTAATATGCTGATTTGCTGCTCAAAAAACATTTCTTATTATTATCAATGTTGAAAACAGTTTTGCTGCTTAATATTTTTAAGGAAACTGTGATAAACTACCATTCAATTTCATTTTTTAACACTGATAATGATAATGATTATTAATAATTGAGCACCAATAATTGATAATAATTGAGTAGCAAATCATCATATCAGAATGATTTCTGAAAGACCATGTGACAATGACGACTGGAGAAATGGCTGCTGAAAATTCAGCTTTGCATCACAGGAATAAATTATATTTTAAAATATAATAATATAGAAAAATGGCATGCGAAATTGTAATATGTGAGCATAAGAGACTTTTTTCAAAAATTTGAAAAACATTTTAATGATACCAAACTTCTGACTAGTACTATAAATATAATATAATATAATATAATATAATATAATATAATATAATATATATATATATATATATA